CTTCGCTGTGCGACGCGTCAGAATCTAAGGAATCGTTCTCTCTACGAAAACATTTATTATGGACGTGATTCACACCATATGTGAACAATTTCTGGCAATCCTGACGAGGGCGAGTAGCATTATTGATCGTAGGGACGATTGGCTGAAATCGCGACGAACCGAAGGAGGTTCGAGCGAAATTGTCCAATTTCTCGGCCGCGAAATCGGTTTCTTCCGTCGGGAATCCGACGACGCGTGTGTAAACGGCTCGTTGGATCGGCAATAACGGCGATGTTTGAATGCGGCGTGTCCAGCGACTCGATGTGACTGCCACCCCGCGCCGGACGTGTACGAAAAGCTCGAGATAATTCGTGTTAAATCGTTTCGCACAGTTCCCTTCGTCCCACCGGACCCGACAACGTCCTTTCGTTGCTCGCAACCACAGTATCGGACGGCGAAGTGCCTCCGCGACGACGTCTATTGCCGCCGGAAATGGAAACGTTGCTGCGCAAATAATATCGCCCTTCATGATAGGTCCGATTCGATACAAAAACCTGCCGGCGCAGTGCAACGATTTGACCGATCTCGGATGATTCGCTTCTTTACGAGTCCGATGGATTCTGCCGAATCCCTTGCGATTTATACGAGCACTCGTAAAATATTTTCTATTTGAATAACGCAGGGGGAACATCGCGAAAACGGTATTACAAACAGCTGAAAATATTGTTGTTGCTTTGTGAAGCGACACCGATAAAAATGGAGCAGCGGAGAGGACGCGCGAAGTTACGATTCCAGCAGTGCTGCTGCAGAAAATATATAAAGTTGTTCCGAAAAATTCGGTGTTACAGTCTGACGTATTTCCGTCAATTTCGTCGCTGTAACATTCGTTTCCGAACTACGATGGTACGCTCTAATATAAAGAACAATGAAGGTTTTACGCTCCAAATTCATTCTTTTGCAAATTACGTTCAACATTTTTTTTTCAGGACGAATTGACTCTTCTACAAATTTAATTTTTTCTTTTACAAATTAAATGCATTCTTTCCCAGCACAAATCGACCAGTTTGCGAATCAAGTTCTTTCACTTTGTTTTGTGTTGAGCTACTATGATATAAATGAAATCCAATGTACATTTGTTGTCTTGATATTTGAAATTTAATTGTATGCGAGCAGCAAAATTGAATCGATACAAGTGCTTTTTGAGAAAAATGATAATTTAATTATACAATTTCTCTAGGAAATAAATGAAATTAGTGGTATATGATCATTTACATTTATTTATATAGCTTTTCAGTTATACAATTACACTTTTCACTCGATTTTGCACCAATACAAAGTGAGATTGAAAATTAGAAAATTTAAGTGGACTTACTGTATTGTCCACGAACCCTTGACATTTAAAGCGGCTATAATATTCTTCTTGGTGTACTCTCAACTAGATTTATGTAAACTTTTTGAAAGATTGCATACCATTGTTGTTCAATACTTTCTTATATTCCTTACTCAAGTAGTAGTTCATCCAAATTACGCGATAAAGAATCATATACGTCTTGTAGTACAGTCAATCCTCTCCAATTATCGTTCAGCTTGTAAACTGCAGCTTTGAAGTTCTAGAGCTTCTAAAATAAACAATTTGACAAGAGTAGGTACGGTTATTCGAGCCTCGCGGATCGTTTTTGTAGTCGCCGATTGTCAATAACTATAAAAACGAACAGCAAGCCACGAATAATCCTATCTCCACTTTCCAAATTGTCCATTTTTGTGCACAATCTGAGCGTTAATTAGGGAGAATTTGTCCATAATCGCAGTCAATAAGTTCTTCGACATATTCTTAAGAGGATTATGTGGAGATGAAATATTTGTTTGTAACATGTTCGTTACACGTATTCGAGTTGCGGTCTCGTTAATTGCTTGCGCATCGATCTTGTGTTCCCCCCGTGTAACAATCAGCTTGATTGTTCTTCGATTTGCATTGATCATTCCAACGCGCGATCATTGCCTTACCATTGATTGGTCCAGTAGCATCCACCAGTCCGGCTGTTTCGGAACTTTATGCTGAATTTGCATAATGTATGCCGTTGCAACAACGAAATGCAATGTGTTATTAGTAGACTGCAGATCTTATTGCATTTATGACAAAGAAGAGTAGTTGCAATTCGATGCTCAAGGAAGCAAGATTATCTGCTACCAAAGCTCAGATTTAGTCTTATAACTATTTGAAATTATAAATCGTAACGAATACGTGTTTCATTCTATACAAACGAGAATTTTCCTGAAAACGTTCAGTATCGATATTTTCGACAAAATTGAAATTAAACGAGAAACGACATCGGTTTATTTCTTACACAAATACACATGTATTGAAAAATTAGTCCAACAAGTACAGTGCGGTTTTTATGCATTTATGACAGAAACGAATAAGTGAACTACGAAACTGCGAGGAGCATGAACCTTTTCGGTGCTGACTCGAATGAAATCTGAACAGTGGAACAGATATCTACTTTTCAAATGAACGATCAATTGTATGAATGTCATATATTATATACTCGCATTATAAACCATATAAAGGTCATGCTGGATAAAATATTTCATATACATCACGAATTAAACAATGTGACTCTCGCTCGTACCACGAACGGACTAAACTTTGGAAAGGTTAACGTCGTTAATAAAAGAAATGCCTTTTTATCGAAGATTTCCTTCGCGAAGTTAACGCTAAAAATGTTTATTTTGCAAAAAAATCCGCAATCTACTGGCAACCGAGCCAGTACAGTAAATTCTCCCTAATTGACGCTCAGATTTTATACATATAATAACGAAAATACAGCTTTAAAATACAATTTTCCCTAATTGACACTCGGATTAACAAAAATGGACAATTTGGAAAGAACAGATACGATTATTCGAGCCTTGCGGCTCGTTTTTACAGTTGTTGACAATCGGTAACTATAAAAACGAGCCGCAAGGCTCGAATAATCGTATCTCCTCTTTCCAAATTGTCCATTTTTGTGGAAAATCCGAGCGTCAGTAAGGGAGACATTATTGTACAGTAATGTCTCCCTAACTGACGCTTAGATTGTGCAGAAGAACGGACAATGTGGGAACAGGAGATACGATTATTCCGGCTTTGCACCATGTTTTTATAATCGTTGACAATTCGTGACTATAAAAATGGACCGCAAGGCTCGAATAATCGTACCTCCTCTTTCCAAATTGTCCATTTTTGTGGAAAATCCGAGCGTCAGTAAGGGAGACATTATTGTACAGTAATGTCTCCCTAACTGACGCTTAGATTGTGCAGAAGAACGTACAATGTGGGAACAGGAGATACGATTGTTCCGGCTTTGCACCATGTTTTTATAATCGTTGACAATTCGTGACTATAAAAATGGACCGCAAGGCTCGAATAATCGTACCTCCTCTTCCCAAATTGTCCAT